AGACATTTACGTCCAGACATACTGCTTCACCTAAACAAGAACTGTTGCAGTAATACAATTTCCTAACATGGACACTGGTAACAGGAACCTTGTAAACCAAAAGATTCTTGGCATCAACACAGGAGCTGCTCTGGCATGCTGCGTCCGTTCAGCATCCTCACAGGAAGTTTGAGGTAGTTTGTTACTAACACTTTTGCCATTGCTCTCCTGTACGCCCTTTTCCCCGTCAATGCTTGCCTCATGCGCTCAGAAGTACCATTTACAAGAAAGACAGTGGTCCTGACCCATCATTTCTTTGACTAATGACAGGGCAGTTTCTTTGGTGGGACCTTCAAAATAAATATTTTTTCCCATGGATAACCGTCATCCACACCACTGTGGATTTGTGAAGCTGCCAGCAGAGAGCAGCTTGGATTCCATGATCCATCTGCTGACCTGCAACAGCACCGATGTCTGCAAACTTGAATGTATCTGAGCTGCTGCTCTGTGGCCTGAAATGGCGACTCATTCATTTTGTGATTTTTAGGATTTTCCACTAAATTAAAAAAGGTGCATCAGCACAATGCACAGATGGAAATGAGTGAAGGGTTCACAGTGCACACAGCTCTTCTCTGTTCCCAGACTCAATCTGTTAAGTCATACATTGCATGACTTCCCGAGTCACAAGACCAAACTGCTAATAACTGGTTTGTTACCATCTGTTTCCTCTCAATATAGGTTACATTTTTATGCAGGGTAGTTTTTCCTGATTGTCTGTTCATACCTTTAGGAGCAGGTTTATGATGAATCAAAATAAACCAATTTTAAAATGCATTAAAAATAGGTTGTACTAGTTTAATGAGGATAAGTTTAAATGTCTCCTGAAATTAAACCAGTGCATATTTGTTAAATAAAGTGGCCAATAAAAGTACTGAAGGCCAAAGGCATGGTCTGGATATATAAATAGGAGACTGTTTAGTAAGGGAACGTGAAAGCACAGTAATGCTTATTAAAAACTATTAATGTATGCAGGAGATCTATACATCAAAAATTTGCTTAGCAAATGAGTATTGCTTTTGTGGAATGCTACAGTTCAATTAAATTTGGACTTTTAACAAATGTTTCTACCTGGAAATTTAAATAAAACATAGTAAACTATTACTCAATTTGCTATTGCACAAAAATAAGGAACATTCATTTGGGTTGGAAAAATATCAGAACTAATCCAATATTACTTTGATAAGAGTCCCACATTTTATTATTTTTATTAAAGATTTCATACTTCCTCCACTTATTTGCCCTGATCCTGGACTTTGTTTGCACACCACTATCTCCACGGTTTTTATAAGAGAATAGAAAGTTAGACATATGATTCTGCTACTAGTCCTGACTATGAAAAAAAGTTTTAGTATACATTTTTCCAACACTATGGCATTAAACTGGGTGTCTCCATAAAAACCACCTGGGAGGAAAACTTTATTGGTTTGTAACTTAAGAAGATAAAAAGTAATCTTCCCAAAGGAAGGAAAAAATGGCAAGTCATGATTTATAAGACAGGTTTCAAAACTTCAAAAATTACCTACTTTTAATTACAGTTTTAAAGTACATTTGTGGGTGGGTAATCTATAAAACATGAATTAATGTTTCTTCCCACTCACCTCTAATTAATTAAGCCATTTTATATATATAAACACAGAGAATAAGGAAGTGTAATAGAATATATTATTTAATAAAACATGATGTATACTCATACACCTTGGACTCCTTTCTAGTCAAGAAGTGGTGACATATGTAAGAATGTACATAAACTTGTTGATGAAACTGGCTTTGGGCTTGCGCTTTTACATAGGGAATGAGACGAATAAAGTGTAGAATCTCTGCAAACTCTTCTATTAATTCTTTTATTATAAAAATATTTTTCAAATGTTTACATGCTTTCCATCATAGAAAACACATTTCTGAGCATATATGTAGCTCTTTCATTTTTAGGAGTTAAATATATATAGAATAAAAAAAGAAATCATGGAGACCACTGTCATCATCTCATCTGACCTCTTACAGTCTTTCCTGAATTATTTTTCATTTAAAATAGAGAATGTGTATTAGGAAAGTTAACTCCCAACAATGGTTTTAAAATTGCCTGTAAAAGCAAATCCACCACAAAACTTGGTAGGTTAAACCCTGAGCCCAGCCAGAGTTTTTCATTAGTAACTCACTATGTAATAGAAGTACCACTGCCATGTTAAGCTGCAGGGAGTAATAACAGTTCATATAGACACATATCTTTTTGTCGTCTAAAGAAGTGAAAGCACTTGGAAAGAAGCACTATTTTTCTAGGATGTGTCATGAATTTATTTCAAATACACACTTTCAGTGCATTCAAATACACAACTTAACGATAGTAAGTTTAAAATTAACATTAAAATTGTACCTACCAGGTTTACATAAGATTTTGAGATGAATTCTTGAAATAAATTTACAGAACTCTTTGCATATGTAATTGAAATTCACTTTACCCTATAAAAATATTATTTCCAAGGCTGATTTTAGATATGAATTAGAAATAATAAATTCCACAAATTGGAGAGCACAAACATGGCTAGAGCAACCAACAGCTGTTCTAGAAATTTGTCTAAATTTAGTTACATGTATTTCAGTTGCAATGGAATTTCTTTTTTATAAATGGCTTCTAGAAATTTAAGAGCTTTTGTTCTGAAGTTAATTGTAATTACTCGCCTGTGCTCACCTAGACAGGACTTGATAGAGACGCTTGGCAAAATTTGACATCAAGAAGGTTCCAATTTAACCCCTAAAAAGTTTTTCCAAGGGATACTTTTCTGTTCCTAGCTTTTTTTCTTTTATTAATTCGGCCAATTTCTCTCTTTCAGAAACTCTGCACGTGTTAACACCTAAAAGCAAACTCTGTCAGTCTTCCACTTGAATTCTCTCCTGAAGTGCTCATCTATTTTGTCCCAAGCTCAAAGAAATGTCCATTTCTACTTCCTGTTCCACCACACAACCTTGAAACCCTAATGTTAAAAATGGGAGTCTTTGCCTGCATTTTTGAGAGAGGCAGATGAGGGAAAACTTTGGAAGAAGTTGTCCAGTAGCAAAGCCACATGGGTCTTTGGGGCAAGTGGTTGTATTTCAAGGTATTCCTTTTCTCCTTCTCTGTGCTCTTATGTCAGCATCGCAGGCCTTCCTGATACACCCTTTTGTCCTTCCCCTCTCTCTTCATCAGCCAGGGTCCTAATCTTCCCTGCAACCTCCTCCAAAGCTTTTTTTTCCCCCCTCCAAATCTGAAGCTGATGCATCTCCTGTAAGGAGGCAGGAGCAGGAAAAACACATAATACAGACTGTAGCTCATCCTCTAGATTGTTACTAGGCTCTTCACTTCCTCTAACAGATGTTACTTTGCCACAGCTGGGAGGCAGCCACAGACCAACCTCTAGTGGTCACAAAGACTCCCTCTCCCCTTCCTTGTAACAGAACATAAACATCTTTTGTTATTTTTCTAAATAGTAGCTTTACTTTGAGCTGAGTTACAAATGATGATTTTCAACAGTGGTCACCCACAGACTTGATATGGCCACATGTGTCAAGTCATTAGCTGAAGAACTTTGTTCCAAATCTTGCAGGTAGTCCAGGACATGCTAGAAGCTCATCACAGTAAAGCTCCCTGGGAACTCAAGTCCTCCATGACTTTACAGTCAGTTGAACTTGCACATAAAGTTTCCAGAAGTATGGCTCCTATTCAGAAATGTGCAGGCTCTTCCAGAAAAATCTGGCTTTCTATTGTGTTTCAAAACACTATTCTGAACAAAATACTCGCTGAATTTTTGCAATATATTAATGTCCAATTGCTGCAACAAAAGCTAGTAAGTACCCTTTCCAGCAGTTAGGTTTTGTTGCAAATATAAAAACGGGGGCTTGAGGCAGCACCATGTTTTAACAGGCAAAGCCTGCAACAGAAAACCTTATTTGTAATTTTTATGTAAGTGTACAAAATTTGTGCAATCTCAAAATAATTTTTTTCTCTTGTGTTTCCTTGTACTAAAAGGGTATTTTTTCAGAATTAATTCTACACTTCAGTCAAGAGCTCCTCAACAGTTGCCTTGCTTAGTGTTGCTTAGCAAGATCTGACTATCCCAACACTGCCAACTGAGTCAAATGGAGTCCCCCTTGAAATACAAACTAAATAGTTATCTAGACTTTTGCAACTCTTCTCATGACTGGATTCTAAACTGCTTATTAAGGACCAGAAGAATGCAGCATCCAATGACAGGTGACTTGTGCCTCTCTCAAAAAACCCTGAAAGCCCCACATCACCAAACTTATTTCTACATCTCCCAAGGCACTGAGGCTACAGCAGGGGTGGGGTTTCCAAGCTGCGACCTCAGACTGCCGGCGCGCTGGGCAGGAGCCCGGGGAAGAGGAACCGGAGGCCCCGCACAGCCCCGAGCCAGCACTGGCCCGGTCCCGCACAACGCTCTGAGGCCAGGCAGGGAAAGCGCGACGAGACACAGCCAACTCCAACCTGTCGTGCGAGCCGCCAGCAGGGAAGCCGCGCTCCAGAGATGAGGCGGGAACACACCACAGCGCTCAGGGCTTCCAGAGCGTTAAATTAAACTCCCGGGCGGGGCAAATGGCCGCACCCTCCCCTCAGCACCTCCCGCCCCGCGCCCGGCCGCTAGTTCTCGCGAGATCACCCCCATTCCCGGCATCCATTTCGCGGCTGGAGGGAAGGGGGGCGGCTCTGAGGGAAGATGAAGGCGGCGGCCATGTTGGGAGCTTCAGGGTGCTTTTGGTGCGGGGTGTGCTGAGCGAGTCTGCGCAGGGAGAGCCGTCGCTG